CCTTCCAACTCTCATTAGCAATGGCATTTTGTATCAACTGAAGACTTCTTAAAGAGGTTTTTGAGTGCCCAGATAATAAAGAATTACAGTAATCCAGTCTAGATGTGACAAATGCTTGAATCAGTTTTTCCGTATCATTTTTGGACAAAATGTTTCTAATTTTAGTTACATTACGCAGGTGGAAGAAAGCGGTCCTGGTAACATTTTTAATGTGGGGGTTAAAAGACATGTCCTGATCAAAAATAACACCAAGTTTCTTTACATTAGAACTGGAGGCCAGATTAATGCCATCCAGAGAAGGTGAAAGGCTGCAAAGTTGATCCCTAAGATGTTCAGGTCCAGAAACCATAACCTCGGTCTTATCTGAGTTTAGAAGCAGAAAGTGAAGAGTCATCCATGTTTTTATGTCTGTAAGACATGCTTGTTTAAGTAACTGATTAAATTCATCAGGTTTCATGGATAAATATAACTGAGTTTAGAGCCCTGCTTGATCAAAAAATAACACCAAAGTTCTTTACATTAGTACTGGAGGCCAGATTAATGCTATCCAGAGAAGGTGAAAGGCTGCAAAGTTGATCCCTAAGATGTTCAGGTCCAAAAACCATAAAATCTGTCTTATCTGAATTTAGAGGCAGAAAGTTAAGAGTCATCCAAGTTTTTATGTCTGTAAGACATGCTTGTAGGTTAAGTAACTGGTCGGATTCATCAGGTTTCATGGATAGACATAACTATCATCAGCATAACAATGGAAATTTATTCCATTCTGTTCAATAACTTCACCTAATGAAAGCATATATAAAGTAAAGAGGATTGGTCCAAGCACTGAACCCTGAGGAACTCCATGAATAACTCTGGTGTAAGAAGAAGATTCATTATTAATATTAACCAACTGAAATACAGTATATCCGTTAAATAAGACTCAAACCATTTTARAGCTGTTCCTGTAATCCCAATATCAAGTTCAAGTCTACGTAATAAAATATTGTGATCAATTGTATCAAATKCAGAACTGAGATGTAACAGGAAAAGAATGGACACAASTCCACTGTCTGAGGCCATGAGAATATCATTAGTAACTTTTACCAGTGCTGTTTCTGTGCTATGATGAGCTCTACACCCTGACTGAAACTCCTTATATAGATTATTTCTATCCAGTGTTCACATAGTTGATATGCAGCTATTTTCTCAAGAATTTTTGAGATGAATGGGAGTTTAGACATAGGTCTGTAGTTGGCCAGAACTCCTGAATCAAGATCAGGTTTCTTAAGTAAAGGTTTAATTACAGCAACCTTAAAGCTCTGCAGCACATAACCATTTATTAAAGATAAATTAAGTACATCTAAAATACGGATATTAATTGAGCAAAATACTTCTTTGAACAGTCTGGTTG